CGTGCATGGCCTTTGGAGGGGAAGGCAAGTAAGAGCCTGCAGTGGAACTGAGAAAGTAGGGTTCAAAGAAAGGAACAAGGGAATTCTCTGGGGTCTTCAGGTCTCCGAGCTTTGGGAGAAGCAGAAACTCACTGCCTGTGGAGGAAAGGTTCTGCAGATTTTTGTGCCTAGGCTTTGCAATGACTAACAGAGGCAGCTCCTCTAGCTGTACAGCAAGATGAAGGCAGAGTAGGAAAAGGAGCCACACTGCCGCTCCATTAAAATAGAGAGGAGGCAGCTGCTCCTACCAAAAGAAAAAAAGAAAAAGGCCAGGATCTGGACAAACTGCCTAGGATCCTTGGCCTGGCAATGCTCCTGAGTCTCACATGTACCCTTGGTGGGTAAAGATGGCTCTCTTCTACCTTGGCCGCAGCAAGGATTGCACACAGTGAGGGACAATGCTCACCCCCCCCACCCCAGAAGAGGCTTAGGAGAACTGTCCTAAACACCACACACACACACAAGTCTTCTAGTAAAGCCACCATCATGTGTTATTCAAAAGCATCTGTCCTCCTATCACTCACAGAATAGTTGGTAATATAAAATAAATCTCTGCCCCCCCCCCCAGTGGATGGCTGCTTAAAAGATACTGAAGAAAGTAGGAATATAGAGTTATCCTTTTAAAAAAGTATATGCAAATGAAGACAAATGTGCTGAAAGAGTCGCACCAGCCCAAAGGCACTCAGGCTTCAAAAACGAAGTTGGCAAGCCAGGAAAAAAAAAAATTCAGACCATTCCGTAATGAGATTTCATAAAGCATAAAAAGGGCAGGGGAGGGGGGAGGTCTCAATTCAAAGGAGAAAGGGATGAAAGGAGGAGAAAGGGAAACAAGGAGCACTCCCTCCCCTTTGACAGCAGTTGTCAGAGAAACGTGGCCCAAGTCTCTTAGACCAAAAGTAAAAATAAAAATAAAAGGTCATTTTCTTTTTTGGGGAAAAAAAAACAGAAATGTTTAAGGGAGGGGGAAAGGTAGAAGAAAGAAAACAGTTCTCCATAATTCATTCCTGGGTGGGGAGAATGTCTGTTAAGCGAGGGTTGAATGGATTTGAAATGGGAAAGGGGGAGGGGGAGAATCAGCACTTCTAGTTGATCTGACGGCAGGCTTCAAAGGTCCATTTGGTGGCTCCGCCATAAATATCGATGTTGGTCTCAGACCAGGCTATGACACTACCCGACAGGGCTTTGGTGCTGCAAGTGGCGAGGTTGTAGATCTCCCCAGGGGTGAGTTTTCGGTCCCAGATGTTGAAATGGGCTAGTTCTCCCACAAACGCTTGAGTGGCATCAAATCCACCACCAAGAGTATCCTTGAAGAGAGAAATTGAAAACAAAAGGGTTGAATGCATCTCTCTATCTCTTGAACGAGAAGGCTTCTATGCTTTTCTACATCCATCCATCCATCCATCGCCCATGAGATAGCCCAACACTGTCCAGCCTACAACCTGACAAAGTAAGCACTTGAAACAAGCCAGAAAGCTTTTACGGCAACATAGAAAGGTCAGCAAGAAGAGACTGCATTAGAGGAGTTCAATAGCAGGAAGGGAATGCACTTTTTCTGAAGTGCCTTTTCCATAGGAAAAAAAAACAGAAGCTATGGTTCCTGGTTCTAGCCCTGCCAGTGTGCTAGAGAGGGAGAATAGCTGTGGAGTTTCTTTTCCTTGAGGCTAACCTGTGTACATGTTCGGTGCCAGGCAGGGATGGTTTAATTTTCTTGAGCCTTTTAATTCCTGTTTTTACTCTCCTAAAGTGTATGGGGGAGGGAATGTGTTTGTAAGCCGCCCCGAGTAGACTCTGTCTAGAGGGGCGGGGTAGAAATCAAATAATAAATAAATAAAACAAATAAATATTCAATGCAGCCTCAAATCTATTATAATTCGTTGTATGTCTGTCATAATTTCATTTTGTTTGCTGGAAACCACCTTGAAATTTTGCTTTTATCTTTCTTGTAGAAGGGTATAAAGAAATACTTTAAACAACCAGCATTCACTGTTTGTGTCGATGTGAACAAAGACATCGTCCTTTGAGCAATGGCGTAGTGCTATGGCTGCATCTCTGGAGGAGGGGAAGGAGAGAGAAGGCGTGGAAGAGCAAGAAAATGAATTGTGCTCAGATTTGATCCCACAACTTGAGATTTTCCTCTGTGTGAAAATATAATGAACTGAAAGACAGCATGAAATAATTGGATACCATGACTTCCCGCTTCTGACGGTGTGCCGTGTACGCCTGAGTGAGTGCGTTGGCAGGTGGCTTCGAACTATGTCACTTGTGTGTTAAGTGATAGGGAAAATAACTGCCTGCTTTTGTGAGAAATTGGAGAAGGACGTTTGAGTACCCCATGGTGTGTGACCCCATGGTGAAATATTCATGCCTACCTGGGGGGCCTTCCTAGCGTATATATCACTTTGGTGAAACACAGGGAGTGCATATGTATCTCTCTGTGTTGCATATACCATTGTAATTCCCACTTCTGACAAAATAACAACGTGCTCTGAAGATCCAATTTTTGGGACAAATGTTCAATTTGTTCAGTTGGAAAGCCCACCCAATTCATTTTCTCACTGACTTTAAGTGTAGGTCGGTGGAGTAGATGTGCTTGAATGGGTGTCGTGGGAGCAAGCAAATCGGTTTACACCATCTTGGTAGGAATCCTTTCCCCACCTCCAATTCCACTGAGATATTTTCTCCATCTCAGTCCATTCTGCTCCTATCCCAGGTAGAACAAAAATCACCACATTCTAACACAGTAGATTTTTTTTTAGAAACAGATCTGCAGTATCCCCTAGGGTGGAACTGTTTTGTGTTAGTCTAGTCAAATTACAAGAGTCCCATAGGAGCCCACAGGACTTCCACTGCAGCACAGCTTTTACAAATAGCTTTTTTGGACTATAACTTCTGGGACGCATGGCCCCTAGAATCACAGCCCAAAATGCAACTTTTCCAAGCTCCGTATTGCGGAAAGCCTTGTGTCTGCCAGAGACACGCTGCACCAAGGCAGCATGTTGATCTAATCAGAGCATGTTGGCACCAGAGGCCTCTGCACAGGTATGATGAGACCTGTTGAGCTTACAGAATACTCAAAACCACCAGCCATGTGCAAGAGTCTAGCGCAACCCCACCTCCCAGCATGAAATGTATATATGACAGAGCTTGGAAGGCTGGCAGAATTTAGAAAATAAAATCTAAGCCTACACAAATTAACCCACACTTTTGAGTTCTCAGCACCTTCTATATCAATCCTATATCAAATTAATGAAAATTGCATACAGATCATAGAAACATTCCAGTGGTCTGTGCCACCACAGGTCAACCTTACCTGTTCCTGTCCCAGAACAAGGACTCCTTGTGGTTTGATAGGGTGGTAAGGGGCCAGATTTTCCCCATTGCCTCGTTGTGTGCCATCCTGGTAAGCCTCCCAGACACCATCCCGAGTGGTCCATGTGATGCAGATGTGGTGCCATTTCCCATCATTAATGACAAAAGGAAGCTTTGCTACCTGAGAAAGTTTTTTTAAAAAAAGGATTGCTGCAGTCACACAAGCCTTATCATGGAGAATAAGACTGTGAACTGTCCCAGAGACCCAGCAACTGCTCCTTTTGAGTAAGGCTTATTTAATAAAGGAAAGAGACATTTCCTCCGCCAACCCCCTATTTTCAGAGCAGCTACAGGACCTTCTGATCTCTGTTACAGTACTACAGATAGAGATCTGAAAGGGCTACAAAAATCTGGAATATACACTGAGTTGACATGGCTAGCAGTGTTTTTTTTAACTCTAAGGACCCAGATGCAGGTTTGCTGGTATAAAACTGTGATGGACAGGCTTTCAAAACAACTCAGCTTTTATATTTTGAAAGAATATGGACATATTCATTGTTAGCATGAGAATATCCATACACACACACACACACACACACACACACATTTCCCCCCCTGAAAACCTCAAGAATTCGGCTGCTTTTATTGTGATATATCTTGATATCTTGGGATGATATTGATGGTTTCACTAGTAGTATATACGTACTAGTAGAATATACCAGATACTAGTAGAATATACCAGATGGGCGGGATATAAATTGAACAAATAAAAATAAATAAAATAAATATAGTTGTGAAAATCTGCAGCCGCTGATAAAGAAGTCACTTGCCTGAAAATTCCTACAAAATTACTTTGTATGCAAAGTTCTTTCTAAAATTCACATCTTTGCTTGATCTTGGCCATGATAATAAAGAATACAACAAACCTAAATTCCCTGCCAGGTAAATGTAAATACATGCAGGGCTAGGTATTGTTCTTATTTTAAGCAGTTGAGAAGAAAGGAAGAAAATGAGGGCTTCTAAAATGACTTCCCTGGAGGGCAAGCTAAATATAAATACCTCTAACTCATTTTGTAAAAATTGTCTGAATTTTCTGGACCAAAATAGAGACTGAAACTAAGAAGGATTTAGACTCATTTCCCATGTCTTCCCTTTCAAAGTAGCGTGCCAGGATTGTAATACCTTTGATCGAGCGACTGACACCAGCACCAAAGATCTGTGAGTGTGTTCACCTTGTGCAAGAGAGACTTGGAGGAAGAGTGCAGTATTTTCACTGCATACTGTATTTTTCTGTGTATAAGACTATACTTTTGTCTAAAATCTTTAAACTAAAAATTGAGAGTCGTCTTATACACGGAAGTAAGCTGAGGATAGAAAACAAGTGGAGGGAAAAGCAGGGATCAAAGCGATCCTGCAACGCTTTGATCCCTTTCCCCCTACACTTGCTAAGCCCCACTTAGATTTCTTAATTTTAGATTAGAAAAGTGGGGGGGTCTTATACATGGGGGCATCTTCTACACAGAAAAATATGGTAGTTTAATGTTAATCTTTTCAGCGTTTATTTTGTTTATAGCTTCCCACTTTTCTGCTCAGTAAAATGTTTTCAAGGCAAATTAAAGCACCAGAGCTGCAACACTTACCTTGTCATTGATAAGAATCTCCATGGGATTGTTGCCCCATTCAATAAGCACTAATTCATTGGCTTGTCCAGGTACTGCATAAGAGAAAGGTGTACCTACACCCGGGGAGGCATTGGATTTTATCCACATGCAAATAGTAAAGGCATACATCTCTGGCAGGCTTTTCTTCACCTTGGCATACATGTAGTTAGTTCGCAAAGGGAAAGTCAGCTGAAACTTGTCAGTTGGCCGATTGTCTTTCTGACCTGGAGAAGACAAAAAGAATGATTGCCCAGTGTATATGGAGGATATTAAGGCTGCAATCCAATAACATAACCTAGGAGTAAGTTCCATTGAACACAGTGACATTTACTTCTGAGTAGATAGGCACAAAACTGCATTGTATTACAGGGTGGTCCCACCTGGATAATACTAGAGATATAATTACATACATGATGGGATAAGAATGCTTTGAATTTATTTTCTAGCAGAGAGGCTAGCAGCTGGCGTCAACTATTTATGCTGATAGAGCATTTCTTCCTATGTCTGTCTGTCTCTCTCTCTCACTCACTCATTCCGCTGTCTCTCCATTATATAATGAGCCTTAAGATGGCAGTGTTTAAATCCCTCCAGCACATTTCTGCACTCTAATCCTGGTCACATGGACAATGCTTGGGAAATAGGGTCTTTTTCTCACTCCTGTTTCCCACAACCTTTCATTAATTTATTAATGTATTTGCCATGCAGCTTTAAAGGGCTAACAAACACAAATTCCATCCAGAACAAAGAAAACAGCAGAAGGTTCAAATGGACACAACTGGTCCGGTTAAAGTTTAAAATGTACCAATTGCTCTCAGGGCTAAGAATATGTTACAGCTCATCCTAGGTCACTTAGAGGGTAGACCCCGATGCATTTCAGCAGAAGAGGTTGGCCAGCTGAAGGTGTTGTGTCTGAAGTCCATTATTAATGGAGCGACGGTAATTTTTTGCTTTGTGTCAGAGAAACATCGTTTTGGAAGAATTACAGATTGCCTAATTACTTCCATACATAGGCACACAGACACCCACAGAACACTAATTTCCGTTTGCAAATTCAAGGAAGCAATCAAACAACAGAGCCGAATTTGCTCATGATTAAATGGAAAACATTCATCTGTCATCTGTTTGAATTTTTAAAAAAAAGCAGAGCAAGGGAGAAAATGGAGTTGATGGGACATTGGGGGGGGGAGCAATCCTGCCTGCCAAGTGTGTGGTTCTGAATAAATACCACTGACCCTTGCAGCCCAGTCTGGCTCGCTCTTTCTTTCTTTCCTTCTTTTCTGTTTACCTTTCTCTAGGTCACTGATCCTTTGGTGAAGGGAAGTTAAAGTGCTTTCTATTTTCCCTCTTTCTTCCGACTCGTTCTTGGGGTTGTACTTTCCTTCCTCCAGGCTGTTAATCCGGGACAACACTTGCTTCTCTAAGTCGTCAATGTTATTCTGGAGGATATCCTTCAAGGAATTGGTCTGGCTGGAAGAATTCATCCTACTAAATTGCTGTGCAAGGTGGGGAGGAGAAGCAAAGAGAATAAGTGGATTGTTGCAAACCAAATTAACACACCGCAGCGTTAGTTAGGCAGAGACGCCTTCTGATGCTGGCTACCCTGACCGCTAAACTCCTTTAGAGCTTACCAAGCAAAAGAGCATCGCTTCATTAAAAAGGAAGCGCCCGACCTGCTCGTTACCCAAGCACTCCCGAGGCGCGCGGGGAAGGGGAGAGGGCGGGCGGGAGGCGGCGGGCGGCGCGAGTGCTTGAAATTTTACTGCGGACATTTTACCTCTGGAGCGGGGCAAAGGGTTGCGCCATTAAAAGCGATATGGAAGATCGCCCGGGTTGGGTGACCCAACGCCATGGCAGGCTTGTCTCTTTGCCTAGCGCTAAGAAATAACAGAAAGGGGGAAAAGTTGTACCTCCAAGTTTTCTAGCCTTGTCTTAAGTGACTGCAAAGTTTGCCCAAGTTGGCTCAAGGTCTCGCCCGCTGGAGTCCGGGAGAGGTCTCCCATGGTGTTTTTGGAAGATCCGGTTTGCTTCCTGCCCCCACCTGGTTTGGATTCCCCCGGCAGGGTCTCGAGCAAGCTCTGGCTCTCACACCGGCCCAGCTTCGTGGTCAGTTCCCTAATGGTTTCCTTTTGGTTCATGATGGTCTCCTTTTGCTGAAGCACCGTTTCCCGCAGCTGGAGGACGGTGGTCTTCAGGTCTTCCGTGCTGCCCCCGCTCTGCATGGAAGAAGTGCACATGTCCATATCCACCGGCACCGAGGTGCAGATAAACCGAGTCTGCCCGAAATTCTGGGCGCATCCTTCCCAGAAGAAAAAAGAAACCAACACCAAGCTGCACCGCACCGTTGCAAACATGGCTGGGGCAAAGTTCCTGACAGACGGGGAGCCCAGAAGCCCAGAGCTTACTTTCAGCACCATGGAACTGTCCCCCAGACTGCTGAGCCGACTGCGGTACGCGGAGTCCTTTTATAGCGCGCGGGAGGGGCGCCGCGGCCTCTGACGTCAGCACAGGGTGGAATCCCTCTTTAATTGCCTTGTGACCATTGCGCTTCCCGTTTAAGGAGGCCTAACTGAGAGTCCAGGTGGTACTGGCCAGGTGGGGTGATGGAGCAAAGTTCTTTTCCCGACTGTGAATGGGACGGTGGGGGAGGATATCGGGGGGCGGGAGAGCGGGGAGGACGGCGTGGAAGAGCCAGATGCTTATGGCATGCGCATGTGCGGCAGGAGGAACTTCGCCTCCGCATGTCTGAAAGGGCCTTTACGATACCCATGCGCCTCGGCGGTGTTCAAGCGCAGCGACTGGGCTGGGGTTCCTGACCTGTAAAACGGGCCCTTGGGAGATCCTAGTGCAGCTCGAAGGGCTGTAAGGTGGAACCCCACGTGTAGGGTGTGAATGTGTGAATGCATGATTTTTTAAAAAATTAATGTTAAACTCATGCATGTAACTCCACTGTATAATGTGTGCACCGGTTGCCACTAGGCACGCTTTTGCTCGAGAGAGAGCCGGTGGTGTGTGCGAGAGAAAGCTAGGCTTCTCTGTGATCAGGGTCCTGTGGAGCCACGTGTGCCTGCTAGATGGAATCTGGTTAGCGCTGGAAACGGAGTGTGTCTGTGTCTCAGTGACACACACAAGGCACCTGGAGTGCGTCTCATGAGTATATGGTGAGCATCCCCTGTGTGCGTAAGTGTCACTATGGCAAATGCGAGAGTGTCACTCATCTTGTCATATGTTCATGGCAAGAGGCAACCTTGTCGGCAGGTCTGAATGAGTCAATACCTGGAGGGCAGACAGAGAGGATGCAGAAGGAGAATGTGGTGCGGATACGGATGCTGGCAAAAACAAAAAGGGGAAAGAAAAGGAAGAAAAATGGGGGGGGGGAGAGAAAGAGGCAATGGCACTGTTGCGTGCCGACAGGAGCGACATGTCTCTCCCCTCGCGGAGGAGCCGGCGTCTTTCCCGCAACCCTGAATTCTCCTCTGCTTCGGAACTAGTCAATCAGATGTTAGTTTTTTTAAAAAAAAAGATGCTGATACTCGCTTTCCGAAGCTCACTGTGATTAGTACTGAGTGATAAGGGAGCTTTGCACATGCTCACAATACTGTACATGTGTATGTATTATGAGTATGAAATCCTGACTCGAAGGAAGCTCTGCTTCCAATCTAGCTCTGCTCTCCTTAGCAAATCCGTGTTGTCGCTCCAGTTCTTCGGCTGTAGTAAAACTCAAGAGGGGTGCTTCTAGCTCGTCTCCGGTTTCAGCCGCTCGGCTTAGGGAACAGGCGGCAGCGTCCCCCGCGGCCACCCGGGCTGCTCTCGGGCCAAGACGACGAGCGCCGGGCGAGCCAAATTTCGCGGGCAAAGGCGAGCAACCCCGGGTTCCTTCCCGTTCTTCTCCCTTCTTCCCCTTCGCTCCCCCATCCACGCACCCACCCACCCTGCCCGCACCCTCTTCCCAGCCGCGCTGGATGGAAAGCAGAGCTTTCCCGCAAGAAGCCTCCGCCCCAGGGGTGAGCCTTCGGAGCCGTTAGCGGAAGACACTCATTTCCTCCTCCGCGGCGTCGTGGCTTCGGCGCTTCAATGAAGCGCGCCTGCTTCCTCGACTTGCCAGGACACCCGATCCCTTCCCGTCCAGCACCTCGGCGCCTCTGGGCCTCCGGGAGCGGATAGTGGGGGCATAGAGTCCGCTCCAGTCTCAGCTTCACCCGTCCTGCCTGCCTGCCTGCCTGCCTCGAGGTACTTGGCTAACAACTACAGTACCTGCCCCCACTGAAAAGGGCTATGCATTAAAAAAAAAATTGGCACCCTGGGAAGGATGTGTTCGTGGGTCTATGCAAACAAGCACAGCATATAGTCGTCCTCCATTCCCCCGCCGCTGTCGCCTTCCCCCCCTTTTTTTCCTCCCGATCACCCACTCCCCGCCCCATGCCCTGAATCCGCTTGTGCTGAACACGACAGATTGGTAGGGCGAGATTCGCCGCAAGCTGGGAAGGGCCTGTTCGTGGACGAAAACTGTCACCACGCGGCGAGCCTTCTAGGATGATTGGTGATGATGGTGGTGGTGGACTCGTGTTTCAGTAGAAAACAGGAGAGCTCCGGCTGGTTCAGAAAGAGAGCGCAAGGGGCGGAGAGAGAGGGGCTCCCCGGCTTTCCTCCCCGCACAGACCCAGTGAGATGGAGAGGAGCAGAGAGCCTGGAGAATTAGGAAAGACACCCTCTCCCGGTCCTTCAAATCGCCCGGGGAGCCCATAAGTCCCCTGGTTTCCCTTGTACCCACCCTAGTCTAGCCCCGGCGGGCAATTTACTTCGGGTCTGATCGCCGCTGTTGCCTCTTCCCTTCGCGTTTTTTTCCTGTCCAATATCTAGCACCCGATCCCAGTTATTTTTAAAGTTGCACTTGTCAGAGAAGCCTTGTTGGGTTGCAGAGCCTTTGGGTAAGTAACCGTCCCCTAAATCTCATCTCTAAAGAGGAAGGAAGGAAGGAAGGAAGGAAGGAAGGAAGGAAGGAAGGAAGGATCGATCAATAATATTGATTTTTCTGTTCCGCTCCCCTACTTTATTCCCTTTCCCCCTTTCTCTGGGTAGTCGCTAGCACTGAATTGACCTGGGAAGGAGGATGAAGTGGCGATGGCGGTGGCGGATGTTTCTGCTGGGTAGTCCATAGGGCCGCCTGCACAGCCGTACGGCCGCGGGGAGCCATCGGCCCGTGAGACAGGCCTCTTCTCTATCACAACCCCCATGCCCAGATGTGTGGGTGTAAGTATGTGCGTTTCACTCTCTGGACTTGGGAACAGCCCCATGAAAGTCAGTCGATTGGCAGCTGCTTTCTCCGCAGCCTGCCCGGCGGAGCGCTGAGCTCCTGACCCACAAGACGGTCGATGCCCGGAGACCCGACTTGCTCTCTATCCGGACCACCTTAAACGGCGAAGCCAGCCCGCCCGCCGCGCTCAGGAGAAAGGGGGCTCTTGCCTCCTCAAGTCTCCTCCCCGCCCAGCAGTCCAAGCCTGAGCTGCGGAGAAACACCCCCGCACGCCTTTTCGGCTGGACTATTTTGTGCGGCAAGAATGGGAGATATATCTGCAGATGTTTGGAGCGACTACAGTTCCCATAATGCCTTCGCAGTTAGATGGGGCTGATGGAAGGTGTGAGCCAGAGCAGTTTCCCAAACCTTCCTTACATGTTGCTGAAGAGAAGGTTGCTTTACTCTGCCTGTTAGCTTTGCCCCAGGTATACAATGTACAAACAAAATATTCCTAGTGCTTCCTTCAGTGTATATGATTGCTCTGTTCAGATTTCTTTAAGGATGTGATAAGTACTCTGCTGGAAAAGACAATAATGCTAGGAAAATTTGAAGGCAACAGGAAAAGAGGAAGACCAAATATGAGATGGCTTGACCCCATAAAGGAACCCCTGCTCTGGGTTCTAAAGTGCTGAGCAGGACAAACATTTTGGACGTCATTCATTCATAGGTTCACCATAAGTCAGAAGTGACTTGATGCCACATAAGAATAAACTGAGTGAAAAGAAATGTTTGCAATGTAAATTGGTTCCCTGGGCTTTCTTTGGGCTGAGAGTTTGTAAAAATGGCTTTTTTGGAGTACAACTTCCAGACTTTCCCAGCCAGTACTTGGCAATGCTGGCTGGGTGTTGTACTCCAAAAGAGTAACTTGTCCATGCTCTGTGGGAATGTGGTTCATTAATCAGCATATTCAAACTCTCAAGATTTGTGTGCCTTTTCCAGTTATTATGGTTACACAGAAACTATAGAGAGAGCATCTCTCATACATAATGTAATGTTCAGAATGTTGTTCCAAGCATCTTCTCTTCCATTCATAAGTTGTATCATTCTCACTCATTTAGTATTTTTTTAAAAAACAGGAGCTTATTGCTTCAAATATTCATTGAAGCAGAGAGAGGATGTGAAGTGATGGGAGAAGGAGGTATTAGGTGTCATTACCGCATCCTACATGGCTATCCAGACTTGGCTCACAATCAAAGCCTCTTAACCAGGTATCTAAAACCTCAGCATAGGCATCTAAAATATCTAAAGCTCACAATAACTGTGTGCCTTCAAGTCAATTCTAACTTACGATGACCCTTTCCAGGGTTTTCTTGGTAGAGAGCACACAGAAGTGGTTCCTTTCATCTAGGGGTACCCTGGGACTGTACAGCTTTGCCCACAGGCTGACTCTTTTCCTAGGAGTCACAGAGTGGAATCCAACTCCCAACCATTGGCTCAGCAGCCACATACCTAAACCACTGAGCTATCCAGCCAGCTATAATAGGGCTTCCAAGGGAGAGGGGTACTCAGAAGTGTTTCACTGTCCCTTCCTTCTGCGGCCGCTCTGGGGTTCGGCAGCTTACCCAAGGCTACACAGATTGGCTCTTCTCACAGAGGCACAGTGTGAAGTTGAACACCCAACCTCTGGCTCCTCAGCCAGATACCTAAAACCACTGAGCTATCCAGCTCACAAATGGCATCTAAAACTAAGCATTCTGCCATGTCTCTGAAATATACAGAAATCAAAGGCAATGGCAGGCTGATGAAGACCCCCTGCTGAGTCAAAAACTAGCTTATATTTGCAGTTTCTTTTGTGTGTTCTGTGCCATCTAGTTGGAACCGACTTAAAGCAATCCTAACGGAGTTTTCAAGGTAAGTGAGATATTTAAGGGGTGGTTCTACCAGTTCCACTCCCCCTGTGAGTTTCCATGGCCAAGTGGGGGTTTGGACCCTGTTCTCCAGAGTCCATTATTCTATCCAATACCCCACACTGGGAGTTATCACTCACCTTTGCCTTTGGGTGAGAGTCATGGGGCTTTTCTCCTTTGCAGAAGAGAGGGGGCACCCCACCCACATTTTGGGTTGTTCCCATTTTCAAGGCTGGCACCTTCTGTTTTGTCATCCGTGTCTTTCCAGCTCATGCTGGTGACCTGAGAAACAATTCCTTGTTGAAGCC